ATATATATATATATTTATTTATTTATTTATTTATTTATTTACAGTATATATGCAAGAAATGTATATTAATATGTAAATTAAATTCAAAGTGTGTATATACTGTATAGAGAGAGGAATTAGAAAATGTTTTCTGCGGTGTATTCTCAATTCAAATTTAAACTCATGATTGGAAAAAAAGAGCCTTGAATTCACAAATTTGTTCAACCATGTATGAAAGTCAGCAGGGCTTTGTAACTGTAGCAAATACTTTGCTGTTTTTCTTTGTCTTCAATAAATGTCTAACACCGTGGGATGGTGATTTGTTCCTTTGTTTACCCTGTTCCCACAGCATTTGGTAATGCCAAGACTATACGCAATGACAACTCCAGTCGGTTTGGAAAATACGTAGACATTCACTTCAACAAGCAAGGAGCTATCGAGGGGGCAAAGATTGAGCAGTACCTGCTGGAGAAATCAAGAGTTTGCAGACAGGTGAGAGAGGATCGGCAGAACTCTATATCATGCTATTGATTATGGTGATGTGATTATATCTAACTGTCTTTGCAGGCAGCTGATGAGAGGAACTACCATATATTCTACTGTATGCTGGCAGGCATGAGCCCTGATCAGAAGACTAAATTAGGCCTGGACCTGGCCACAGACTACAATTATCTTACTATGGTGAGGGCCTGTTTTTATCAGACCACTAATGCACTTTTATGCATTTTCTTGTACCTTATGAAAGCATTTGAATAGATCTTTCCATTACAGAAATAGTTCACCCAACAATGAAAATTCTCATGTAGTTCTGAACCTGAATGACTTGCTTTCTTCTGTGGAACACAAAATGTAATTATTCTGAAGAATATAAAAAAACTGGGTCTGTCTTTCTCCAATGACAAATTAAATGGCATAAAGTTGTATATAGGTGGCCCATATGAATTGTGTACTGTATTCCAAGTCTTCTGAAGTCATATTGACTGCTTTATATACTTTTATTGTGCTTTTTGTCATTTTGGAGCTTGACAGCGCCAACTCCCATTCACCTTCATTGTGTGGAAACAAGCAGCCAGGACATTCTTCAAAATTTCTCCTTTTGTGTTCCATTGAAGAAAATAAGTCATACGGGTTTGAAAGAGTAAATGATAACAGATTTTTGAGTGAACTGTTCTGTTAATATAACAAGAAAACATATCTTGCTTGTTGATATCTGTCTAGTGGCAGTAGAGGAACCAAGAGAGTGTGTAAAAGGCTTGCGTGTGCGTGTCCGCTCTATCTTTCTAACTTGGCCTGTCATCCAGGGAAACTGTACAGTGTGTGAGAGGAGGAATGATATGAAGGAGTACTCCAGCATTCTGTCAGCCATGAAGGTCCTGATGTTTACTGACACTGAAAACTGGGAGATCTCCAAACTGCTGGCTGCCATCCTGCATATGGGCAACCTGCGCTTTGAAGGTGGATAGTGTTAATGGAACTTATGAAAGATGTTATTATTAATTATTGTTCACCCACAAGAGGTTACAGATGAGCTAAATTGCACATATCGTTTGTGTTACCCCAACAGCTCGAACGCTGAAGAACCTGGATACCTGTGTGGTGGTTCGCTCACCTGACCTGGCCAAAGCAGCCACGCTGTTGGAGGTGAGGTTCATGTGAATGCACGAGAGAGGTTTAAAGTCACATGAATGGCCATTTGAAACCCTTTTTTTTTTT